AAATGAAACCTAACATCTATGTGTTTACACCTTCCATGCATCATAGGATTCTTAGATGGCTTGATGGAGAAACTGTTGTCACATAAAATAATTGAGATTTGCTTTTGAGGAACATTCAAATGGCCCAACACATTTCTCAACCATACCCCTTGGCAAGCACATAAGGAAGCAGCTGTAATTCTGCATATGTTGTTGACAATGTGGCAATTGGTTTTTCTTTAAGGACCACGACACTTCTCTTGAGCCAATATTAAACACATAACCTAAGGTGTTTTTCATATCATCTTCATCTCTTGCATAATTAGAGTTTGTCCACCCTATTAATTGTAAGCTATTTGTACTTCTGTGCTTATAAAGTATGCCAAAATCTAAGGTTCCTTACATGTACCTCATTATTCTTTTGACTGCGGCTACATGCATCTCAGCGGGGCTCTCTATGTATCATGCAACTAAGCACACTGAGAAAGCCATGTCTGGTATTGTTGCTAGAAGATACATCAGATTTTCTACCAGCTGCTTGAAGATTGATGTATCAGTAGCTCTACCACCTTCATCTTTAACCAAATTCCAACATTGAACAATAAGAATTCATACCTTGTTGCACTTTTCCATTCCAAATATGGTTAAACTTCTCCTTCATATCTTTGTTGATGGATGAAGATTCCATCATTACCTTGCTTTACTTTAATTACAAAGAAGTATCTCATCTTCCCTAAGTAAGTTATAGCAAACTCTCCTTTCATTGACTGCTTAAAATCATCCATAATTTGCAAATCATTGCTTGTATAGATAAAATCATCCACATAGAGATTGACAATGAGAATTTTATATTGAGCTTCATGCTTGACAAATAGACTATGTTCATATGGACATTTTTGAAACTTGTATAAATTGAAGTATGACTCAATCCTGTTGTGCCAAGCCCTTGGAGCTTGTCTAATACTATAGAGAGCCTTCCTTAGTTTATACGCTATTTTTGAACTGCCTTTGTGATATCATGCAAGTTGGCTTATGTACACATCTTCAGTGAGCTCTCCATGTAGGAAAGCACTCTTCACATCCAACTGGAATACACACCACCTTTGATTTTCTACAACTGCCAGTATTATTCTGATGGTATCCCATTTGGCCACAAGTGCAAAGATCTCATTAAAATCAATATCATGCCTTTGAGAGTAACCTTTTGCAACCAATATAGCTTTGTGCTTGTCAACCTCTCACTTTTCATTGTACTTGGTGCATGTAAATCCACTTTACTCAAATACTTTTTTAGCCCTTTGGAAGTGTTGTCAGTTTCCAAGTGTCATTCCTCTCTATAGACTCTATTTTAAGATCCATTGCGTTTCTCAACACATCAGATTTGACAACTTCCTCATAGTTGGTAGGGTCATCATTAGAGCTGAAAACTGTAAGATTTTGTAGTTGATTATCATATTCATTTTTTAAGCAAGTTCATTAAGATACCTTGGAGGTCTCCTAATTCTATGGCTTGGTTTAGGTTCTTCAAATGATTTTGTTCTTCCATTGTTTTCTTCATCACTATGACCATCTGCAGGTTCTTCAACTATATCTTCTACTACTCTTGTAGTTGTTACCTCTACATCTTCTTGCAGTTCAACTTTAGTTTCTTATTCCATTTAGACATGTGAGTCTATTAGACTTTCTTGATATTTATTGTTCTAATTCCAACTCTTTGCCTCTCAAACACAACATCCTTTCTAATGATGACTTTTTCCGCATTTGGTTCAAATAGCTTGTAGGATTTAGACTTTTCACTCACACCAAGACTTACACACTAAATAATTTTTCCATCCAATTTCTTCCTTTGTGCATAAGGAACATGAGAATGAGCCACATAACCAAACACTCTAAAAGAATGAACTAGTGGTTTTGTTCCACTCCAACATTCTTTAGGTGTCATGTTCTTGACTGCAACTGCGGGGCTTCTATTCATGACATAGGTGGCCCATCTGGTTGCATTATGCCAAAATTGTTTAGGAACACTTATACAAGACAACATAATTCTAACCATATTCATGAGAGTCCTATCTTTCCTTTCAGACATTCCATTTTGATGGAATAGTCAATTGCCTTTAGATCCCTTGCAAGCTTTATAATTCATTAAAGGCATTTGATGTGAACTCCCCTTCTTTGTCAGTTATAAGGCATTGAATCAAATAACTAGATTCCTTTTTAACCAACGCTTTAAATATTTTAAACACACCAAAGGCACTATACTTTTCTTTAAAAAAATATACCCAAGTTTTTCTACTGAAATCATCACTGAAAGTGATGAAATACCTATTTCCTCCAAGTGATTCAGGCTTGATGGGTCCATATATATCAGAGTGAACAGTTTCAAGTTTTGCATTGGCCCTCCAATTTGAATGTTTAAGAACTGGTTCTTTGTGTTGCTTTCCTGTCAAGCAATCAGTGTATTTTTCTTTTATGTTTACCAGGCTTGGCAAACACTTCATTGTGTCCTTCTTTACAAGTATGTCTAGTCCCTTGACACTCAAGGGTGCATACCCGATATGCCACAATTAAGATTCCATCTGTTTAGCGATCTGACTCTGAAAACACATTAGAATGATGAGTGGTGCATGGATCACATACATCTTATTATGGGACATATGAGTAGTCAAGATCAACCCCTTTTCCTCATGAAAGATTTGGCATGAGCCATGCTTGAAAACTACACTCAGCCTCTTCTATTGAAGTTGTCCAATGTTAAGAAGATTGTTCCTCAACACTGGTATGTAATAGACACCAGTTATCACATGTGATTTATTGCCCAAACTCGGGTTCACATTCCCATTTCCAATGATTGACATAGTTGAGTTATCACCAAGCTGGAATGTTTCCCTGAAACTTCCATCAAAATCAAAGAGTCAAGCCTTAATTCCAACCATATGATTGATGCATCCATAATCCAAGTACCAAGTTTCTTCCTTGGCCAAACCTTTTTGATTCACTCTTGGCCATCAGAATCATTTCCTCTTCATCATCGAACTCATCATAGTTTGCATTTTCCTCTCAGCTAGGACACTCACTTTGATAGTAACCTAGCTCGTGGCATTTGAAGCATTCCATAAACTCCTTACTTTGTCTTCCCCTTCCACGGCCTCTTCCAAAGGATCTTCCTCAACAACATCTTTTTGACCCTTCATTATTTGCTCATGCACAAGGAAGCTACTTTGAAATTCATCAATGGAAATGGTTGTCACATCAGTGTACTCTTCAATTGAGCACACAACATAGTTGAACTTTGTTGACATTGACCTCAAGACTTTCTCAACAACCATTACCTGCTGCAATTTCTCTCTATGTGCAGTCATACGATTTGCAATAGCAAGAGTTCTTGCAAAGTACTCATCAACAATCTTATTTTCTCCCATAATAAAAACTTCAAATTATCTGCGTAGAGACTGCAAATGAGCTCTCTTTACCTTCGAAGAACCATGATACTTTCGTCGCATTGCATCCCAAATATCTTTGAACGTGTTGTGAACAAGAATGGTTTTCAAGATTGATCTATCAATAGCTTGAAACAAATACTTCTTGGCCTTCAAATCTTTCAATATTTCCTCCATGGCCTTCAATTGTTCTTGAGTAGCATCTGTAGATGCTACCATGATGCCATTTTTATCAATCCCTAATACTCCTTTGATTGAAGCAGATTCTTCATTAACATGGACCAATGATCGTAGAAACCATCAAATCTTGGAATGGCAGGCTGGATGAATCTTTCTTGTGTGGGTTCAGTCATGATTGGAGGGATCAACAACAAGAGTTTAGAGAAAATGAAAGAAGAGACATGATGATGCAGTTGATTGATGAAGAGAAAGAATGATTGTGAAAGAAGTGGAGGATGATGGTTGTAATTGAAATACTGCAGTTTTCAATTAGAGAGAATTTGAATCAGAGTGATGATACCACTTATTAGATTAAAGTGTATCTCTTCTCTATCATAATGCACAATTGCACTTATATATGCTACAGTAAAAGAGCTGTTGTTATTGCTTGAAAAGCAAACAATTCCCACCTAACTCTTAAAAAACTCTACAACTAACTACTAAACAAGAATAAACAGCTCTCATATAAGTTATCGTACAAATATAAATTATCTATTTCATATTCTCATATATCTACGTATTTAATTTGTCGTTGTAAGAGGTGAATTTGTTTTATCTCTCATAGAAATAAATACATCAAAGTAATAATATTCTTATTGTATTTACTATTATAATTACTTTATTATTCTTTCAATTTCTTAACTTTTTAATTGAAAATTTTAAATATCTATTAAAAAGAAATTATATAATATCATTTTATATTTATCAACTAACTTCAAATATAATTTTATCAAATATTTCAACTTAATACAATTTATATTCATTTTAATATAATTTTTCTTACTTATAAAAAAAATAGTTTATCGTTATATTATCATGTAAAAGTTAATCTACTAACAACTAATATATATGTTAAATGTCATTTGATAGTATAATGATGCATTAAAGCTTAAAATGACAAATAATCAAAAACAAATTTGTTGATAACGAAGGGAATAATTAATTTATATTAACATAAATAAAATATGAAAATTTATAATATAAAAATATAAATCATGAATAACTTAAACGTGACATATATTGATGGTGAGTTTAACTTCTTAAAATTGATATTTTAATCAAAATCATTTGTGAAACTGTGAAGCTGCAAATGAAGGCAATATGGGACCATAATTTAACTATAAGAGCCGTTGTGTTCACCCAATTAACCTTTGAAAGTGAAGAATCTCGTGAATAAAATAAATGACCAAATTCTAACTCATTTATTACTATTCTGTTCTTTCTCGTGACCACACTTACTCCAAACCAACCCAACACAACACCAACTCATTCACTCATTCATTTATTACAACAACCTCTATAAATAATATTTGTCACATGACCAAATCACACCCAACACAACACTAACTCTAAATTCAAAATATCATGAAGACTCGTATCAATTCAAATTGTCCCTTATTATGTTTTACTATATTGTTGTTGTTTTGGTCTCATTTAGTTATTTCTTACACGGTTGAGATTTCTGATTCCAATAACTCCACCGTGCCTTCTAGTTCAACACCACTAATTGATGACATTTCCACCAAACAAGACAATGCCAAAACCGATCGTCGCGAACAACAAGCGGTTTATGATATCATGAAGGCCACAGGCAACGATTGGGCCACCGACATTCCCGACGTTTGTCGCGGTCGGTGGCACGGTATCGAATGCATGCCTGATAAAAACAATGTTTACCACATTGTCTCCCTCTCCTTTGGTGCCCTCTCCGACGATACCGCATTTCCCACGTGTGATCCCACACGTTCCACTATCTCTCCCTCTATCTTAAACCTCCCTCATCTTAAGACTCTTTTCTTTTACCGTTGTTTTAGTTATAATCCTCATCCTATACCATCCTTCTTGGGCCAATTGGGCCCATCATTGCAAACACTTGTTCTAAGAGAAAATGGACATGTAGGCCCAATTCCTAATGAGTTGGGTAATCTTACTCGTCTTAAGGTTCTTGATCTTCATAAAAATAATCTCAATGGTTCGATACCGGTTTCATTGAACCGGCTAACCGGTTTAAGATCATTGGATTTGAGTGTTAATCGGTTCACTGGTTTCATACCCGATTTGACTTTACCAAATTTAAATGTATTGGACCTGAACCAGAATCGTCTAATAGGCCCAATTCCTTCTACTATTACAGAGTGTCACTCTTTAATTAAACTCGATTTCAGTCGCAATAGGCTTTCGGGCGCAATACCGGATAAACTAAAAGGCCTAAATGATCTTATGCTTATGGATTTAAGCTTCAACCGTATTCAAGGCCCATTTCCAACATCACTAAAAGGCTTAGGTTCACTACAGGCCTTAATTCTCAAAGGAAACCCAATGGACTCAACAATAGTAGCCCACGATGGATTCGATGGTATGGACGGTTTAATGATTTTAATTATGTCGAATACGAATTTACACGGCCCAATACCAGAATCATTGGGTAAATTACCCAACCTCCGCGTGCTTCATCTCGACGGGAACCACTTCAACGGGTCGATCCCGAAAAACTTTCGAAATTTAAAAAACTTAAGTGAGCTTAGGCTGAATGATAATGGGCTAATTGGGCCGGTTCCATTTGAAAGGGAAATGGTTTGGAGAATGAAAAGGAAGCTAAAGTTGAACAACAATTTGGGCCTTTGTTATGATCCAAGTAGTGGGCTTGGAGATAGTGTGGGCTCTGATTTTGGTATTGGTTTGTGTGAGAGTTCAAGCCCAGGTTTGGTTAGGACAGTGCAACATGTTTCAGACATGAAAAACCCCAGCCCAATGACAACATCGTCGTCGAAATCTGCAGTTACAAGCCCATTGGGCCTAGCTACTTTTGTTCTCTATAGTACTTTAATTTTCTTGTAAGTAAAGTATATATTCATTTAGTATAGCATAGGAAAAGAATCTTAGAAAGACCTTATAATACTCTATTAGCAATATCAATGTTTTTTCAAATTTTAACTTTCTTGCTGATTTTAAGATTGTAAGTATATTTTGTTGTTGGAAAAGACAAAACTTACCTACACTATCATGGATGATGTAGATGTTTTTTTGAATGTGTTACTAATACCTACCCTTTCATTGCACCATAAATCAATTTTATGTATCAATCATATAGTTTGTGTGTCCAAATCTGCAATTAGTATGCTTTAAAAGATCTGTCGGCTGATCTTTGAACTCTCATGTTGCATAATCGTCAGAAAACAACAAGAACATGGTCAACAAATTTTAATACCCTATCAAATGTGAATAATGTATGATCTTTATCTTTTTTTTGGGGCTCCAGGTCTTTGTAATCTTGAATTATACTACAAATCTTTTGTGCACGACCTTGAAGTATGATAGTAGTCCAAATTATGTTCAGTTGTCTCTATAAAAAGTTATTTAGGGTGTAATATTATTATTCAAGTGTTATATGTAATTTGACTCCTTCTCGATCAAATTATATTTGGATAGTTTGCACGAATAGTCTCTATAAAAAGTTATTTAGGGTGTAATATTATTATTCAAGTGTTATATGTAATTTGACTCCTCCTCGATCAAATTATATTTGGATAATTTGCATGATACAACAACTATTGATCTGTTCAGTACTATGATACATAGGTACGGATATACTATTTGTTATGGATACTGATATCGATACAGAATACGACATTTTAAAAATAATCAACGTACAGATATATTAATAAAAAATAAGAGTTTTCTATAAAATTTATGAATATATAACTAAATTGTTAAGTTCATAACAATATATTACTATATGAAAAATAAGAAAATAATGTTAATATACAATAACAAAGATAATAAAATATTTAAATTTAGTATATTGATAATTGAGAAAATTGTTAGAATAATAATGCAATTGTGAATAAGTGGGGAAATAGTCTCATATTAAATAGGAATCAATAACAAATCTTATTAGGAGCCAACAGAGGCCACTGCAACCCTCAAAATAATGAATTTTTATCTTATATACTTCAGTAGCAGCATCACTTTCTAATTTTGTGAATATTAACATACTTTATTAATATTGTTAATGAATTCTCTTATATTTAGAATTTTTATAAAAAAAACTAGCTTAAATACCACATCAGTAGAATCCATGACCTATTCTTTTTCGATAGTATAAATTATAGATGTGTCAATTAATAGACCAGGAACTAAACTAACAAGTCTTTAGAAAGAGTTGGAAAGCAGGATATCCCGTAGAAAAGGACTAAATGCTCTCTAACGGATAGACTTCGCCGATAACGGCTAGCTGCTTCGCTTTCTTTCTTTTCTTCCCCGTCTCTTTCCTTCTGTTAATCTCGTGGATGCATCTCTCTTGTTTCTAGAAACACACTCAAAGGCTCCAGTAGCCCAGGTCTCAACTGAGAAAATTGTTCGGCCTAGTTGTTGGCTGAAAATTTCGACTAAGGAGAAATTGAGCTGAGTCAATGGTCTAAATATAAATAGAGAATTGTTTGGCTATTTTGTTTGTTAAAAGCCATGAAGATTTGAATTTGAAATTCGTTAAGAGATTGGTGGATGGTTTATAATTCGAGTTGCGAAATAAAGTTATTATTCGAAACATGGTTTAAGATTTTATACTTTGACCATTATCAGATTTTATTGGTTTTGGCGCTCAAGACGGATAGCGAAGGATTTGAATTCAAATATTCATTCTTATCTAGAAGGACATGTGGAATCTCTTGGATTGTCGAAGACATGCCAGCGGAAACGTGGCATTAGTTTGTTAGGAGACCGTTAGGGTCGAAGTTCTATAAATTGTAGCTTTTGTGTTTCAATTTAGTGTGTTCACATCTTCGTACAAAATACTCAAAGTACCAGTGTTCGAGAAAAGAGTTAACGAGAATGTACGTATGATGCACCATATTTTATATTCAATGTCATTTAAATTCAATGAAATTTATTTACGTTCTTTACAACTACCAGTCTAGACTAGTTTATATTTCATTATTTTTATAAAGAAGTTTCACTTCGACATGCGAAGTGATTCCTTTTGTTTAAAGAGATTATCATCAAAACATGCTTTCTAAATAATTGAACACAATAGTCCTGAGATCAATCTGATCGATCTTGTGAATAACTGAATCTGTTAAAGGATTTAGAGGATAAGCGGTTGTTTACCAAATTCCAGGTAAACAAATTGGCACGTCCAGTGGGACTCTGTGTCTAGTATTTAGTTTCTTTTCTCGATAATCTGTGTTTCCTAACTTGTTTTGTTGCATGAGATTAAGAAGTGGAAAATTAGCCAATACAGCAGATCCTAGACCAAAAAGGCAATACAATAGGAAAATGGCTAACCCACCCGTTAGCGATGCACAATAAGTTCCTCCTCCCACATGAGGGAATACGAGTGCTTCGGATACAACCGAAGCCATGGCAACAAGTCAAGGGACTGTGATTATCCCCTCGACTACAAATGCTATAGTCATACCCCCAAATACAAATGCTTCAGCCATATTATCAAACACACAAAATGAAGCTATTATAATGTTTGTGGCCAGTCAAATTCCACCTGTAACACTCAGACCTTCAGTAGGTAGTATCTCTAGAACATATGCACCAGGGTTCACAATCCCAACATCAGATCCAATATATGGCATGCCAACTTCGTTCACGGCAGGACTTCAAAATAACACTTCGACATATACACGTCCTTTAGCATCTGCCTTTTCTCCATTACAAGGATCAGGTTCAGGGGTAAAACAAATGGCACGAAATAATTTGCAGCCAGGATATGTTACTCAATTGCCTCCTATTAACATAAATACGTAGGAAGTCTTGAGGCAACTGATGAATGATAGTAACCATGAAATGGTGGGAGTACTCACCCGGAAAATGAGTATAATTTTTAACCCTTTAAATCCAAAGCACCACACAGACGAACTTGCAGAATGCCCAAGCAAACCAACAAATGGCAGCACAAATTAGGCGCCTTGCAGATTTCTTTGGTGCACCTAGAGAACCAACTCGACAACCACAACCTTCATGGATAAGGGAGAATCAAGGTATCATGTTTCAAGAAGAACCAACCATCGACCAGGACCAACCAGTGATACACCTAGAAGTCGAAATTCAACAACCAGTTCGAAGGGAAGAATCACCCAGATTTCAACAGGCTATTCCCAGGGAGGAACCACGAAGAAGGGTAGTCATGGTGAATCGAAACCAAGATGCTGACGAAGTTCTCCAAGGATGTCGGCAAGATGATATGGTAGGAAATAATAATCTAGCATCCTTATTCGAAAGAATCATGGCACGGAATGGAATAAATATTGGCATACGAAGGCCAAATTATACATCCCCTTCGTTTGAATACATTCAAAAAACTGAGTTGCCTAGGGGATGGAAAGTGCCAAAATTTATAAAGTTTTCTGGTGACACCAATGAGTCAACCATAGAACATGTTGCTAGATATCTTACAGAAGCAAGGGATATAGCAAACAATGAGAATCTAAGGATTAAGTATTTCCCTAGTTCATTAACCAAAAATGCTTTTACTTGGTTTACTACTCTTACAGCAAACTCCATCCACGATTGGACTCGCTTAAAGAGATTATTTCATGAACAATTTTATGTAGGTCAAACAAAAATCAGCTTGAGCAAATTGGCAAATGTTAAACGCAAATTCAGCGAGCCTATAGACGATTATCTTAACAGGTTTTGTCTGTTGAAGGCAAGATATTTCACACAAGTGTGTGAATACGAGTTGGTCGAACTGGCAGCAAGAGGATTTGACTTCTCTATCAGGAAGAAGTTAGATCCTCAGTATCTGAGAGATATGGCACAACTGGATGATAGGGTTCGACAGGTGGAGCGTTTGAAGATCGAAAAAGCAAGGGCTAACAAAAGCCACAGGAAAGAAAGAGTGGCTTATATCGAAGCCTGCTCAGACAAAAGAGATGCCGAAGATGATTTTTTAAAGGTTGAAGAACACGAGATAGATCTTGCAGAGTTGAAGCAAGGACCACCATATCCTTGCAAAGTGCTGACGCCCACGAACAGGAAAAATCCCGTCGAACCAGAAAGGAATGACAAATTCCCAAAGAAAACCTATACTTTCTACATCACCAAGTGTGATGAAATCTTTGATTTGTTAGTAAAATATGGCCAGATGATAGTGTACCCTGGTGCTAAAATTCCTCCGTTAGAACAACGGAAGAAAATGGGCTTTTGTAAATATCATAATTTCTTAGGCCATAAAACCTCACAATGATATCTTTTCAAGGACTTGATACATAGTATTATCAAGGAAGGAAGGATAAAGTTCAGAGAGAAGCCCAAGAACCTGATAAAGGTCGACACAGATCCTCTTCAGATTGTTGAGATAAAATTTACAGAGCCTGTAGATATCAACATGGTTGATGTTATCGAATACGAAGGAGGTCAACTCAATGCAGACAAGGTATCTGAAGATACTCAGGGGATAGAGACTGTTGAGGGTCTCATGGGCCAGGAAGAAGGCAATGCTACTGATAGCAATGCCAAAGTTGCTGGAAAGGCCAAGACTACTGAGTGTCAGGAGTCTTAATATGCCCATGGTGTAGCGTTGTTTATGATAGAAAGGCAGCTGAAGCATTTGAGAGAATTTCATATGCTCAATGTTGGAACAATCGAAGGAGTAGCAGGGAGAGGTATGTAACTAATGCAAAAGGAATTCCAAAAAGGGAAGATAGCCCACACCCCAAAGTGAATCTACAAGTCACCTTCAAGCCACCAGCCAACATCCCAACAGACAAGTGGTTGAAGTTTAGTCAAAGTAAGGGGGAAGGAAAAGGCAAAGGCAAATGGAAGAGTTTTGGGGAAGGTGGCAGATCAGCGTGGGCATATCAAAGGTAGTTCCAGTCAACGAAGCA